GTTCAATGTCTGTGGAGATCAAAGAGCTGGCAATCTCCAGAAGATTTCAACAGGAAAACAGCTCATGGCATTCAAAATGTCCAGATAAAATCTAAAATTATTCAGCATTTTAAAATATTATATGTGAGCAATTCTCTAGGGAAAAGACAATCAGATGTCATCCTCAAGATAACTGAGATACTAAAATTCTTTCAAAGGTCTTAAAACAGTTCTTATGGTTGTGCTCAATGAGATATAGACACTTTTGAAACGAATGGAGAGATAAATATTTTGGTAAAGAAATAAAATCAGCTTAAAAGTAATTAGAACTGAAAAATAAGATATCTGCAATAAAATCTACTTGATGGTCTTGATAATACAATGAAAGTGGCAGAAAAGAGCCTGTGAACTTGAACATAGACGAAGAGAATTTGTCCAGTTTTTATAAAGAGAGAAAATGGGTTAGAAAAAAATCAGACTCAGGGACCTATGTGAAAATTATAAAAAGATCTAACCTTCTGGCAAAGATGTTCCAAAAAGAAAGGAGAAAGAATACAGTGCAGAAAAAATATTTGAAGACATATTTGCAGAAAACACAAATTTGGTAAAAGATATACATTTACATGTGCAAGAATTGAAGAAAAACCCACAGAGAACAAATTCAAAGAAAACCAAACCCATCAACATTATAATCAAACTGATGTAAACTAAAGATGAAGAAAAAAGTCTTGAAAGCAGACAGAAAAAGACTTTAAAGGGAACAATAATTCGAAGGATTGCTGAATTCTTAGCAGATACCAAGGTTCTCAGAAGACAATATGATACATCCATAAAGGACTAAAAGAATTGCTGACCTAGAATTCTCTATCAAGCAAAAATAACCATCAGAAATGATGGCAAAATAAAATTGTCAGATAATGGAAAACTAAGTGAGTTCACTGCCAACAGTTTTTCTCTAAGACAAATGCTAAAGGACATTCTTCAAACTGAAATGTTATCCTGAGGGAAACTTGAACTTCAAGAATAAAGAAAGCAAGCTCAAGGTCCTCTAGTTCGATTCCCGGTACTAAAGAAAGGAGAGGAGAGGGGAGGGAGGAGAGGGAGAAAGGGCATAGAAATCATAAATATCCTGATAATTATAGAGTCTGTGTGTGCTGACTGTCTCAATTTGAGAAATTTGGCTAACAGAAGCTCAACTAAATCTATTCTGCAATTCCTCACCCTGGGGAGTAGAAGATTCACCCTAAGGCAGCTCTACCCACCCCAGGGCAGTTCCTCACCTGGATGTTTATTATAAAAGAGAAATGAGGAAGGACATTGCTGCTTCTGTTCCCTCGGAGGAGCTCCAGTCTTCCCTTTGAACATCATCTCTTGCCTTCTAGTGCAGACTCTTCGGTTTCCGGCCTGGATCTTTCAGCCTTCAGGTATAGATTCTTCTGTCTTCCAGTGCAAACCCATTGGCCTCCTGTTACAGGGACTCACATGGGACACTACAGTGAGCTCCAGGGCTTCGACTAAATCCTCTGGTCTCCAGTGTGCAGACAGACCCTCTGCATTCTTCCTCATCCAACTCTGTGGGTGGCCATTGTAAGTCAATCTTGTAAATTCATATATATTTGTATATCTTGTGTTATATCCTTTTCTCTCATAAATACTGACTGATACATTGTATTTCTTTCTTTTTTTTTTTCCTTTGGTACCTGGGATTGAACTCAGGACCTTGCGCCTTGTGCTTGCAAGGCAGGTGGCAGAACCACTAAGCTAAATCCCTAACCCCACTGTGTTTCTTTTGAGTTGGTTCAAATACATGTAACTACTGAAAGCAAACATATAAATATTTTCTGGTGGAATGTTGAATGTATGCAAACATAATAAAAGTGACAATTATGATGTAAGATTAATGTGGCTAATAATTCTTAGACCAACCACTGAAAATAAATGAATACTTATATTATATAAATATAATAAAAATAAATCTAACTAGATCACTGAAAGATGTACAAATAATCAAAATGAAGTCAAGAAAGGGAGATGAGAGAAATACATGTAAATTAAGGTACAATCAAAGCCAGTCATGAAACCACTGCATAAGTCCACTTGAACTGCTGTTCAAGGTGGCTTCTATGCACCCTTTATGTCTCAAAGCTCTAGAAGCTGGAAACCCCAGGATCAAGGCACCAGAAGATTTGGTGTCTGTCGAGGGCCCACTTCATCTATGGTACCTTCCATGTCCTGGCATAGTGGAAGGAGAAAGAGGTCCCTCTGGGGCCTCTTTTGTAAGGGCATCGGTCCCACTGATGATGTTTCTGCCCTTAGGATCTAGTTACCTCCAAAGCCCTCACCTCCTAATACCATCACCTTGGGTGTTAAGATTTCAATATAGGAATTCAAGGGGGACACAAGCATTCTGATCGCTTCCGCCTTATCAAAATTACATTGTATGTAAATTGTCTAAGCATATCAATTAAAAAACAGAGATTGTCAGTTTGGATTTTTATTCATAACTCTTCTATGTTGCTATACTGTTAGCTCATCTCAAATATGCATTAAGATGTATGCACATACAAGTGGAATTTTATCTATGAGTGTGGTGAGTCACCATGTAGACTGCCTTCTTTCTAGAGATTGATTAACTGTACTTTTTAATATTTGGCTGAGGCAGCGCTGTTCTGTAGCAAACCTGGCGAGACCTACTCAAGCCACTCCAATGGTTCTACATGTTACCTAATCAAAAGCCATCTGCCCCTCTTCCTTGTTAACAGGGATCTGATTCTGATCAACGCGAAAAGAAGAAATCACTAGTCTAAAGGAATTGCTAGTTAACAACCTATTAGTGCACACAGGATTCAGATCTAGCCAATAACATGGCAGAAATGTGTTGTGGGCATTAGCAAAATACATTTTCTCTCTCAGAAGGGAGAATTTTTTTCTCTTTTGTCTACAGACATGCCTGCCTTTGCTTTATGTTTTGATCTTCTGAGAAAGACGTTTAGAGTTGTGCTCATCATTGCTACCAGAAAGGAGCTAGTACTGCAGAGGAGAACAATTTCAAAAGTCTATGAACCAACCCTAAGTATGTTTACTCCTGAACTTCTTATATAGTAAACTAGAAAGAAATATACTGTTTAAGCCACAGTTGGTCACAGATTCTGCTGCCTGTAGTCAAAAGTGTTACCTGACAAATGAATAGAGCCTAGTCTTTTTTAGCACAGAATGCCACATCCTTTCATTATTTGGTTAGGATCATTGTCCTTTCTCTTTCCCCAGCCACTTTATTTTTCCAGGAGTGGGTTGAAGAACATCTGCCTGGAGACAATGAAACCGTATTAAGTAAGAGCCAGATACTACTCATTTACTGCAGAACCAATAATACAGTGCAGCTTGGAATTCTTCATTCAATGAGTCAACACATTTACTGAGTGCCTACTGTATGCTAAGCTGATGTTGGATACTGGAGGTAAAGAAAAAAATAGATGATAACAAGATTTCTGTTTCCCAGGGGAATGACCTACATACAAGTATATGTAAGTAAACATATAAGATCAGGTTGTTACAAAAGAAAATAGGCCAAGGAAGAACATATAGGAGACTGTTCTAAGGAAGAAGATAGGAAAACTCAGACCATAACCCTATGCAAAGCTAGATTTGTGGTCCTTTCCATTCTGAGATGTCTTAAGGAGACTCTGAAAACCAAACGCCTTATTAGAGTTCCACATTAATAATCTATACTCCCAAGTAGAATAACGTTTCCTTTGGGATCTTTAAAAAAAATCTACATCAGGAAAATTTTTAAATCTGAATTTGTGACTAATCAATCCATATAACAGATCACAAACTTGGAATTTTGATAAGTGGAAGATTTAAAAGATTATAAAATCACAGTCAGATAGTGACAGCTATGTTTCACAGCAAAATAAATTTATAAGGGTGAAAAAATGGAAGATTAAGGAAAAATCTGAAACCGACTACAGGGAAGAAGAGCTGTGGATATGGAGAGTAGGTCATCAACCTGGAAATTGTCACGGACTATGATACAGCGGTCAGGAAACTGGGTTGGGTGGGGCAGAAATGTGAGTGGCAGATGTTGCTTCTTATGTCTCCTTTTTGAGACATAATATGCGTATTTCTTTATTGGGTACGGTACAATAATTCCATACATGTATACGATGTATAATGATCAAATGAAATATTATTCAGCCATAAAAATAATGAAATCCTGTCGTTCGCAGCAACGTGGGTGATAGATACTGTTTTGAAACAACCTGATTCACGACCTTATTTCGAACAGGAAGAATTAGAGTTCCGGCCATTCCCGAGTTAGAGACGGTGGGAGAAGAGATCGGGCTTAGAAAAATAGCTTTCACTCAGGTCTTCAGTTCTTACCTAGTATGGGAATTCTGAAAGCAAGGAGAGGCTGACTCAGAAACCTGGACGTCGGTAAATTCTAAAACACCCATTAAAGTTCTAATGCAGCTAGCCCTCAAGTTTCACAGAGATACATTGCTGAGTTCTATTTTCCGGAGCAACTACTTCCTCTCTTGTATTGCAGATGTTATCTTAACTATCAGCCACTTGCAGCAACAACTCGGAGTTCTACAGAGAACCCGGTGACTCCAGCAAAACGTCTGCTGGCAGCTAGGAACCCCTGCCCCGGGTCTGTAACCATGGGAACAGCCAGCACGCGAAGAGGGAGATACCCTGTTCCACCGCCCTCTCTGACAGATATTGTTTCCCACTGTCTGTCCACGTGGGCGCACCGCCTCACTATTGGTCTATGCCCCGGGCCGGTGCCTTGCTCCAGCCAATAAACGGCCTGTGCACGTGCACTGTTGCGTCTCCGGATTGGTCAGCACCCCTTGATCACGCACTGCCTTCCAGCGATAGCGCTTGTGTGGAAGGGGGGGGCCGATGAAATGACTCAGTGGTCAAATACAGCCAATCGGCAGGAAGCAGGTTTCACAACTGACGTATGGACGCGCGCTGGGGGTGGGCCGTCTCGGCCCCTTTCCAGGCCCAGACAGGTTTGTTAAAGGGACAGGCGACGCGGCACGCCGGTGCTTGTTGCCGCACCGCACAGCCACGGCTGTGGCCCTCGGCTTGCGGCCGGCGCCCGTGACAGCGGCGCCGCTGGACTCGCGACCCCGGCTCCGGGCCTCTGCCGACCTCGGTGGCTAAGCCGCGTCGCCTCTCGGGATGGGCGGCGAGGCAGGGTCCGGGGCGGCCGTGGGCTGCGAGGGTCGCGTGAAGAGCCTGGGGCTGGTGTTCGAGGACGAGCGCAAGGGCTGCTACTCCAGCGGCGAGACGGTGGCCGGGCACGTGCTGCTGGAGGCCTGCGAGCCGGTGGCCCTGCGCGCGCTGCGCCTGGAGGCCCAAGGCCGGGCCACCGCCGCGGCCTCCCAGGTGGAGTACCTGAACGTGCGCCTGAGCCTGCGCGAGCCCGCGGCCGGTGAGTACCCCCGGGGCCCGGGGCGGGGGTCTCGGGGCGGGTGGGCCGGGGGCCGCCCCGGGACGGCGGAGGGCCCGGGCGCGTCGGTGAGCGGCGCTGACCGGCTCCCGGCCCGGCTTGCAGAGGCGGACAAGCGCTGGGCATCGCACTATTTTCTGGAAGCTGCGGGCGGTTGTCATGGGAACGTGCTGTTAGACTCGTAGGGACCCGAAGAGCTTGGTCCCTTCCAGCCCCAGGCGTGGAGAGCGGAACCGGCCTCTGTGCCCTTCCACTCTGGGATGCGGAGCGTTCCAGGGGCCTCCACCCCTTCGGATCCCGGAGCTCTACAGTCTCGTGGTTCATGATGATTTGGCAGAAAGTCATTTTTAGGAAGAGGGAAGTAGCTTTGGATGGGGTGTTCAAAGGAAAGGTCTCTAGACTTGGCCTTCGTAACCTGGGTTCCTTCCTTTGGGGAGCAGGGCGGTCCCCACCTCATATTGCTGTGTGGTCCCTTTGCAGCCTTTTCCTGCTCTCCCTTGCTTTCCCAAAAGGCCGTTGGAGACAAAGCCATGTGAGCATTTCCCATTACTCTTTCCTTTTCGCGGTGGTGTTCATAGTGTAGACTTTTCCAGAAAGTGGCCATGTCAGGGCCAACTACGTGGATATTGCAATAATACTAGATACAGAATTTGATTTCTTTAATAATCATGAAAAGTCATGAAATCAGTGAGACCAGTGATTGTTAGTCCTCTCTCGGCCAGAGGTTAAACCGTTTGACCTTTCTGCCTCATTAAGTTTTAGCTATTAAATTTGAAGAGTAAAATGCATTGTATCTAGACATTTAAACAAACGTTGCTGTAACTTACGTGAAGTAGAATGTGGTTGTGTCTTATCCTTTATGCCACTGCTCAGAAGCAGGCTGTCCACAGTCACATCCTCAAATTATGTGATAATCTCTCTGATCCCCAAAACTTAGGGAGGCAAACAATATTTAGAACCAAACCTCTACTTTGATGAACAAAAACAGTGTGATAGGTGACATTTCTTACCTCCCTTCATCAGAAGGGTTTTCGAGATCACCCAGTGGTCACAGCCAGCCTGGATTTTCAAGATGGCTGCCTGGTGGGAAGAGCCATGGAAGAGAGAAGCAAATGATTTTTGTCTAAGTCTTTAAACTCCCTGAGCCCATAACTACTGAGTAAATGGATATAACAGTAAAAGCGGTTGAACCTGGAATTGACAATGAAAATTGCACTGGTAAAGTCTATGATTGGTAAAATTACAGGTATCATTTTGATTTCACAAGTCAGGTCTTATTTCTTCATTCTAATGGAATGAATCATCTAAACAAGCACAGTTTGAAAATTTTCAACTTGTTTTAGAATGTATCATAACAAATACCAGCAACACATATTTTACTTAAAATCATAGTCTTTTTTTTAATTGTGGCGGGGGGGGGATCACCCCTGATATCTAAACTTTGGAAAAAGTGAGCAACTTCACAGTCATAGATTCTCAGGATCATTTAATTCCAAAACTAGGCTATCTTTCAATCATCTAAAGAGGTTTTTAGAAATCTAGATTTCTAAGAAATATAACCCTGGGATCTATTTTCAGAAAATCTCCTTAGATGATACTTTGGCATTGTCCGTCTAACCTTGCTATCATTGTGACTGATTTTGTTCATATTTTTATTGAGGCATTGTGACAGAAAGATAAGAATACGGAACCAGAGAGTTGGTTTCAGTTCTGAGGCAACACCAGCCATGTGACCTTAGGCAAGTCCCTCACCCGCTCACTCTTCCTGGCAGCCTCTGTCTCCGCAGTGGTCCTCTAGATCCCAGGGCTCATGAAAGCCTCTAATTATGAGCTTTGGCATAAGACCATTAGCAAATGAAAAGATGTTTCTCTCTTACATTGTAGTACTCTGTACAAGACAGAAGTAATGAGCCATGAGAGCAGAAGCAGAAATGGGCCCAGCTTGTGAACATTTGTAATTAAAAACAGTGACAAAAATTATTCCACATATTAAAACCTATGTTTATCAGTTTGTTCAAATTGCTTCGTTTCATATTTTAGCATAGTTAAGAGATGTAACTCCTGTGTTCATTTGTTTTCTCTGTGGAAGGGGAACTTCATCTTTCTCTTACCTCCATCTCCTTTCAGTAATCCTCAGCATTGCTGTTCTCAACCGGCCTAACACGCTCCCTTATGCTGTTCACTTCATCCACACCCCTTCCGCTCATCGCTCATCTCCAGTCCAGGCCGCGGGTGCTCGAAGCCTACCCCACCTGCCTGGATGCTTGGCTTCTAGCATTCTGGTCATTGCCTGTGCACAGTGTCCAACCCCTTTGTTCCCGCTAGTCTGGCTGAGGATTGAAGTTACTCGTCTTTATATGGACTCCAAGTGCCTCACGTCTATGCCCTGGAACTTTTGAACTTAGATAAAACATTTTCAAACATTTGTACATACTTTGTCGTACTCTGTAATCTAAGGATTACAAATTAGACCTTGCAGCCCAGTGCTCTCCAGAGCGCTGGCATAGCCTTGAGCTTTGCCTGGGTCACTGTGAAGGCCAGAAGCTACCCTAGGTTCAAGTGCCACAGCTCTGCTGCAGCCGTGCTGTGGCTCACAGGGCAGCTCCCCAGTCCTGAGCCTGAGCCGGGCTACGCCCTCTGTCAGTTCATCTGATTTCCTGTCCTTGTAACTGGTTATGGTTTACTTAGTCTGGAAGTCACCACCTATAAAATACTTCGGTTCAAAGGGACTTATGTCACTCTTTCTTGCTCCTCCAGTGTACTGTGCACTAAAAATTGAAGAAATTTAGAAGACTTAATGGGCCCATAATACACTCCTGTTTTCTAAAAGTGTAAGTGTAAGGCTGCAATGTTAATTGAAATATGTAGGGTCTTTAAGCTCTAGTAACTAAATGAAAAGAAATACTATTTCACTAGTGATTTCTGCCCTTCAAAAAGTTTTTTTTAATGTGTAAAACAGAAATTTTCATTTTAGTGTCTAATAACCAGGCAAATCTCAAAGCTCACTATGGCATGGTTTCTTCATCTTATTTCATCCACAAGAAAGAGATAGTAGTCTTAAATCTGAGCATGGAATGCAGGGAAAGTTTATAAGTAGTTCAAGAGCCACCTGACCAGTGCTGGAAGCCATGAGTGTACTTTGGATCCGAATTAAACAGAGTGTCTAGGCCCATTCCTGAGAGGATCTAGTGCCCCTAGTCTCACAGAGTCTGCCCACACCCCGTTTACCTTCTCACAGTCAGTGCTAATAAGCTTGTGCCTGAAATAAAGCCGAGCTGGCAGGCCAGAGCAGCAGAAGGGGCATGGCCTTGCTTGGTGATTCCCAAGCTGAACTCCCCAAAACCCTGTTCATCTTGGTACAACTCACCAGTAAATACCTAACTCTTGGCTTAGTAGCTTGTCTTGTTGGTTTGGCTGTTTTGTATTATACTCACTATTAATACAAATTTTTTACTTCCTTTTCTGTCTCTGCCCAAAGAATACATAGTAAAGTTTTATGCTACACCCAAAATAAACCTCTTTCGCTAAAGTAGTTTTAGTTCTAAGTTAATAGTGCCATTTCCTGTTAGTATGATAGAGTGGAGTAAATAATTTGTTTTTATATGTGTATATATACACACTTCCACATACGTGTGTATACACATGTACTGTATATGCGTATTGGAGCCATGGGCTCTAGCACTTTATGGTAGTTACTTGCATAATTGTTCATTTAGAGGCCAGAAATTGTGAGTATGTGTATATATATATATATATACATATGTGTACGTGTTACTTGTTAAAAAAATATATCTAAATGTATTTAACGAACTTCTGAAGTATACTGCATTCTATAGCCATGAAACCACCTTTAAAAATATGACTTAGATTATGAAAAGTCTTGATGCTGATGCTAACTTTAGTTAAAATAAAATGCAATCTCTTTTATAGGTGAAGGCATCATTTTATTACAGCCTGGAAAACATGAATTTCCATTTCGCTTTCAACTTCCTTCTGAGTAAGTGAAGCTATATAGTTTTGTGATTTCTTTCCCTGAATTACATCCACATGAATGTTTGAGTAGAGTACATATCTTCTGCTTCTGAAGTATCCACTTTTATTCTGAATAGCCCCAGTTATAGCCATGCTTGCTTGTTCTTGTTTTTTTCAGTCTGAACCAACCTTGTAAACCATGCTTCTTTGGCTTTGTTGAAAAATAGACTCATAAATTAATATCTCTTGTTTTTTCAGACCTCTGGTGACCTCATTTACAGGGAAATATGGAAGTATTCAGTACTGCGTGAGGGCAGTTTTAGAACGACCCAGGGTACCTGATCAGAGTGTAAAACGGGAACTCCAGGTTGTTAGTCATGTTGATGTCAACACACCGGCATTATTGGTCAGTTCTTCTTTTTCTCTTCCTGCTTCCTCTCTTTCTCTTTTGCTCCATTCCTCCTTCCTTTCAATAGCGGTGTCTGTATTTAGCAAGTTTAGTGGTAGTCAGTCCTGTCACTTTCTGATGGCTTCAAAAATACAATCTGGTAACCCATAGGCATTCACTATAAATATATGATTCTAGATTGGGCAAATTACAAATTGTGTGTGTTAATACTATTGATTATGTCCCTGCTGTTCAGAGCTTCTTTTGCCAAAAAGTTACACAGGCTTGAAATGCATTAATAAGGCTTAATAACAATAATGCACACACAGAGAGTAGTTACTTTTACCAGAGGGACCACATTCACAGGACTGTGGTATTCTAAACTCTTCAATAATAGCAGGTTGAAGAACAGTAATTATGGAAGAGTATTAATCACGCTCAGCCTGTTATTGAAGCTCATGCCATTATGCTATGGATCCTTCCATTTTGCATGTCATTTTCTAACATTAAGTAAGTACATGCAGCTGCTGCTGAGATCCTTTCACTTATCATTTCCTTATGACAGATTTGGCCACATTAAAGCATTGAACTTCTAATAATCACCAGAAATACTGTAGCCTGATAAGAAAGATCAGGCTATAAGTAACAACAGCATAGGCAAGATGGGAGCTAATGAGCTGGATTCTTTTATCTAAACCCATATTATCAAAATAATATAAAATTATACCTTGTACTTTCATGATAGCTGCTAGGACCTAATGGTTCTTCATTTAAATATGAATGAATGATTTTTTTACTTCATAGAAAATACTGAGATCATTTAAACTTTTCATCATGATACGCGTGTGACAAAGATTTATTCTTTTTCTGACAGTGTTTTTAAAGACAAGGAAGAAAGCCAACAGTTGTTTAACTCCTATTTTCACATAAAAAGAGATAGAATATACTTTACTGTTTACTTCTGAATAAAAGATAACAAATATAGTCAGCATAGTTTCTTGTGGCCCAAAATCACTAAGCCATTAAATTTAATGATTTACAGATCAGCTCACCTGGTCTGCAGCTACAACTTTTAACACCTCCTTAAAACTCTTTTTGAAAATTGATAATGCTAAAATGTCTTATATTTTTAAAATCTATTTGGAATTGGGAGGTTAAATATTTCTAAAGTCTTTATAATCTTTATGGCAAATTACTTAAAAAGATTATGTTTTTGCCAAAAACGAATACCAGTTATTCTTTCTGTAAGGAAAACATATTACAAGTAACTTTGGATTTTACAGAAAGCTTTGGTGTATGCATCTTGTAAACTGGGCATCTTACCTTGTGTCATTTTTCTTGATATTAAAGAATACAAAATAAGATAACTGTAGTAAGGTATAATGTGTTCAATAGTCTTGCAGATCTGTTAATAGTGAATATGTTGTTGCACTATTACAGAAAGCCCCCAAACCATTCCAGGAACACTAGAAATGTCTGTCTGATATGCATCTGGAAGTAAAAAAAAAAAAAAAAGGCTATTTGTTCATTCCACATAGTCAATGCCAAAACAAGTATGATATTCTGATTAATAATTTTATATTATTGCTCCTTTCACCTGATCGGTAGATAAAGTTTTTAAAAATTCTAACATGTTTTTATGCACTAATATATGTACATAAATATTGCCTTTTTGAAGGGATAGTATATCCTTTCCTAGAAATACACTGACTTCAGGGTGAAATAGATTCAGCCTGGTTTTCCTAAGAAGGAAATAAATTTTAGCACTTTGTGTTACAGTACGTCTTGCTTGATACGTCACATGGAAATATGAAAGTAATTTCTTTACAACTATTGTATGATAAGAGATGTAATTTTTAAGTTCTCTGAGTTCTCTAGAGTGGTTTAATTAATGTCATTTTATTTGAAATTTTCAAGACTCCTGTATTGAAAACTCAAGAAAAAATGGTTGGCTGTTGGTTTTTCACTTCTGGTCCAGTCTCACTGAGTGCCAAAATTGAAAGAAAGGGATACTGTAATGGTAAGCAACTTATTTGAAAGTCCAAGTGAAAGATAATTCATTTTACTGAATAATTTCCAGTGATTTTAAATAGTATGTTTAATTTCCAGTGATTTTAAATAGTATGTTTTGTAGTTTATACAATGTAGTTTATTTTAAAACATGAATGGTAAAATTCTAGCTTTAATATAAATAATTGATAGTAAATATTTTAAGCCTATGAATAGATTCCAGTGAAACTTCTAGTGTCTCTGACTTCGATCCTGTTATTTTAGGGACAAAGAGTAAAATCTGAAGAGTGGGGAGATACAGTTCCAGCTGAATGTTGCAAAACAATGCCTAGGGTTAGATCCCTCTGAAAAGGACAGTTGCAGTGGGAAAATACTGTTAGGACCCTGATTCCATGCTGGTCTGAGATACAGAAATGTATGGGCTTAGAACATAAAACATGAACAAACTGTAGGCATGTTGATATTAGAGCTACCGTTTGTGAATGCCCCAATTCCTAGAGCAGGTTTGGCCCCCGCTCCCAGGTTCTGGCTTGCTGGAAATGAATGTGGTATGAATAGTGTGGTGTAATGTTGTAAAACTTGGATATCCCACTGTTCTTTTATATTTGCCTCAGCTTTAATTCCTTAAAAGCAAGAGCTTTGTTCTACTGTTGGGCAGATTTTAATTTAATAGGTGAATTTGTTAATGTTGTTTATTTAATGTAGTGCTAAATCATTTATTTGTAAGCCCTACCTTAATTCATATGCCTATTGATCATTTATATATCTTTAGAACTGTTAATGTAATATTGCTAGAGTACAAAAGTGAATAATTCAATAATTAGAAAATCGTATTTACCACAAACTACAGTGAGTTTTCATTTATCTGACTCAGTATTACAACACACATTTTCCAACGGGGCTTCTCAGTTTGTTGAAGTCCGGTTGGAGCATTTTGACTTAAATCGGTAATGGCCTCACTGTGTTTTGGTGAGAATTTTTTGAAAAGTCTCTTGAGTCCATCCTGATTTTCTTTTCTTTCTAGGAGAAGCTATTCCTATTTATGCAGAAATAGAAAATTGTTCATCTCGGCTGATCGTTCCCAAAGCAGCTATTTTCCAAACCCAGACATATTTGGCTAGCGGAAAAACAAAGACCTTTCGTCACATGGTTGCTAATGTGCGAGGGAACCACATCGCCTCTGGGAGCACCGACATATGGAATGGGAAGACTCTGAAAATTCCACCTGTTACTCCCTCCATCCTGGATTGTTGCATTATCAGAGTGGACTATTCCTTAGCTGTAAGAGAGCTCTTTTTAAAATTAAAACCATGTAGAATGGAGGAATACCTGGAGGCATGTTGCTGTCAGTTCCTTATTTGAAACTGAGAAAATTGTCCTCCCGTATCACTGTTACCACCTCTTGTGGGCTGTATGAAGATTGGCCTTCGCCTTTACTAAAAATCTGTCACTCCTCCAGGGAATGAAAGTCACATAAAGGGATGGTGGTGGATTACGAGGTATCTGTCACACTGAAGATACACTTAATTTTGTGTAATTGTAAGCAGTGCCAGCTTCCATTAAAGTATGTGAAGGCCACAGGTCCCTGTCACAGAGTACTTACTGTATTTTGTGTCCTCTTCATTTTGTTTGTTCAGTTTGTTTAGTCAGGACTGTCTGCATTTGAAATGGGAGTGGGGTAGTAGTTGACAAAGGAATTCATTCCTTTCTGAAAAAAGACATCACCGGTCAATCTCCTGTGTGGTTTAACTTACATGTGCGCCTCTCTCCTTCTTCTGACCTTTCAGGTGTACATTCACATTCCTGGTGCTAAAAAGCTGATGCTCGAGCTGCCATTAGTCATTGGTACCATTCCGTATAATGGGTTTGGCAGCAGAAACTCCAGCACTGCCAGCCAGTTCAGCATGGGTATGAGCTGGCTGACACTGACGCTGCCAGAACAGCCGGAAGGTAAAATAGTCTGAAGTTCTTTCATACTGAAGGTATATACAGAAAGTAGCCGAGAACAGGACTGTAAGGTAGTAAGTGCTCAAATGTGAGTTATTACAGCTAGTACAATTAGCCTCATTCTTCTTACGACTAAAAAAAATTAAAAATGGGACATCGAAAATTTAACTTATCCAGGACACAAAGTTGTTTGACGGCACTCAGGGATAAAATGTACATCTCCTAATGGCGATTTGTTACAGTAAAAAAGTGACAAATGGTCAAAATAAAAGTGTAGAGTGTTGCATATTTTCTGTGGCCACATTTCAGTGATAATTGCTTCCCTAGACTAGCACACTCCTCAGTCAGTGTTAGCAGTAGTTTCATAAAAGCAGGAGTAAACTTGTTTTTGTTGTGATGGGCACAAAAGCTTGCTGACTAGAGAGAAAAATGCCTTAATTTGATCTTCAGTGTAGCTAAATTTCTTATTTTTGAAGGGGTTCAGGAAAATTAGTTTTTGTGGGAATTGGTCAGCTTCAACTCCATTTCTGTTTCAGCACCACCAAATTATGCAGATGTGGTGTCCGAGGAAGAATTCTCTAGACACATCCCTCCTTACCCTCAGCCCCCCGACGGTGAGGGAGAAGCGTGCTACCCTTTGTTTGCCTGCATACAAGAATTCCGGTTTCAGCCTCCACCGCTTTACTCAGAGGTAAACAAAACAAAAGAAAATAAGACTTTTATTATGCTATTTGCCAGTAATCATTTGCTATCCTCCATTCATTTAAAGTATCTGTTGCTGGCTCATAATTAGTAAAGGATACATATAAAATTGCTTTCACAGTGGCGATAGATCATCACTGTCCATTTAGCTTGCTTTCTGGTATCTTCCTTGTGAGCTATGGCATGCATACATGGTATCATGATTGCCTTTGAGGTGTTCTATGTGGCATTGGAATACAGAGAACTTCACAGCCTATGGGGACTGGCTAATAGATAGGACTGAGCATCTTGGGTTACAGTCATCATGTAATTCAGAGTAGGTAGTAGAGTCATTTAAAAAATGCTACAACAGTAATTGCAGTCTTCTTCCTTTTTGCAGGTTGATCCACACCCTAGTGACATAGAGGAGACCCAGCCTGTTTCCTTCATTCTCTGAATGAATGTATTTCAGAAATCACTGTGTTCATCATCAAATTGGAATTCTTTCCCACCTGCCTTTTTGGGGGAGAGGGCGGAAAGATTAATTTAAGACCATAAATGAACATTCAGACTGAAGAAAATAGAAATTAAAGATTACTAGAACTTTCTAGTGGGCCAAGAAAGTGGTTGCACAAGTTTCTATGATGGCCATCTGTCACCTTGGGGAACGGGAGGACGCCATGAGGATGAAGGTGAAGCAGAAGTGCTGGTGGAGGTGGAAAGCGAGGAAGGTCTGCTGACTGGCAAGGCGGGATTCTGTGGAGTGGAAACCAGGCAAGGAAGCCTCTCAGAAGGCTTTGCAAAGACAAGCAAACGTGAAGGCAGTGTGAAGGATTCACTGGGCAGACTTGGTTTGAGAGTGTAGCCGCATAGACGTGTGCATGAAAGTGGCCTACTCTAAATACTCAGTGAGACCTTCAGATTCCAGGGTCTTCCTGATTTCCTGTCATATTACCATATCAAAGGTCAAGGTCCTGGCAAGTCCCCTTTCTTGAAATTATGGTCACATAATTCCCAATGAGGTAGTACAGTTTCCATTCTTTCAGTCGTAGGTTAAAATATACTTTCTAAATTGGCTATGCAGTATTAGGAAACCTGCAGAGGCTTCCTTGAAAAGCTTGCCACTTCAAATGGGAAAGATGATGAATTTTAACATGAAATTGTGTTTTGTTGAAAGCTATACTTTTTGCCACCTCTAAGTACTTCAACAGGATACATGTTTAGTTGTCCTCATATCTTAATTATCTGAGGGCACAGCAGAAAAAGGAGGAGGAAAGAAAAGGTTACATCTTTAGGATGCCTTGATAACCACACAGCCAAGAAAAATCATTTTCTTCACCTACCTCTAGTGGGGTTATCAGATAGCTTTTCAAAACCCTAGGCCTGCTCAACCTTATTTGAAGTTTCTGTTATTTATAGCAGCAGTCTTATCTCACCGTGCATTTAATTAGAAATTAAACCGAGGGAAAAATCTGTAAGGTTAGCATTAAAAGGAAATAAATATATGTATACCTACAGGCATTTCAAAAGAAATGTAAATTCAAAAGAAGGTAGAAATGCTACTTTAAAAAAAAGACATAAATTTAATTTCCTGTCAAGAGGCTTAAGCAGACTGGTGGCCATCACTGCATAATACATTGTTATTCCAACTTTTAGTAATTCTAGTTAAACTGTGACTTTCTTTATTGTTTTGGTGCAATATTTTGTTGTCATTTAACCTCAGGATACTCCGACCAGCAGGATTACGTTGCTGCTCGAGGTCTCAGCAGTGTTTGTACTGTCCCCTTTCCCCTCCTATTCATGTTCACATGCTCACTGGCTTTTCCATCGATCTGTTAGTGTTGTGAACTGGGAACATTTCTGGACACTAAGTGAAAGGGAGGTAGGAATTGCCATAATTGAAATTCTGGACCAGCTGATTCCTAAGGGTTTGATCCAGATACCCTGGTGCTTCCCAGGCAGATACTGTGCTCCATTTGATAAAGTAATTAGTAATTGTGTTCACTTAGAAATAGAAAAATTCTTACACAGTTAAATTTTGTATTTAAAAATCAGTCGACCATTTGATCAGGGATTTTTCTACAAACATTAAGTGAATGTGTGATTTTCACCCCTGGATGTACTTCTCATCGCTGTAACCATGAAATATCAAACACATTTCTTTCATTATAAGCCACCATTTAAAATCACAGTGTATAATGGTTATACCTGTGATTATAGTACAGTTGTCACAAAACTTACTCCTTGCTTTGGTTTTTAAAGGTCTTTTACTTTGTTTGGTCTTTTTGTATGTCTTTAAACAGGTATGTGTATTTAAGTGCTGTCCGACAGCTCATCTTCAGCTATTTATTGACTTCACAGCTATAGTTTACAGTCCATGTCAGGACATTGTCCGTGTCCACAAAACCAAAACAAAGGGAAAAAAGAGAAAGCAAACTCAGACCGTATGGACAGAAAGGAAGTTTAATTATTTGGCTCCACATAGAAAAGCAACCACTTACTGGAACCCTTCAGTAGGGTTACTTTATCTTCTTGAGTAGAGAAATTGTGAACTCTGCCCAGCAAAATTAACATTTAAGAGACTAGGCCACAGGTCTGACTTGACACTATCCATACGCCTGACCATAAGCAGGAGGGGGAAACTGCACACCTTCAAGATAGCATTGTAGGAATGTAGAAAACTACATTGGCACCCAGAAAACCTATGAATGAAGAAAACATTTAGCTGCTATTATTTTCCTCTTTATTCCCCTCTGCTCTTGTTTAGTTTGGAAAAAAACGTGGCCTTAGAATTTTCCTTTGTATGCAAAAAGTTTGAAATTGAAAATGTACATTGTTTTTGGCACACAAACTCTTTCATTCCCTGGGTAAAATTTTACTTTTGATGTTTTTGTTTTGCACAATAAGAAACTCAGTAGACAGGGAACATGTTTTTGATAAGTTAACTGTAAGAGCTTTTTTTATTTTTGTTAAAAATGTAACAGTTTAACCCACAAGCAAAAAAAGAAAAAAGATTGTATTTTGTACTCTTGTTTGAACCCTGTGGGTTCCTTTTGTTAATAAAATGATTCTACTAATGCTGTGAGCCATTTGTTTGTTTAAAAGACTGATTTAAATTATCACAGACTTAAGAAAAATCAGTACTAAAAATGAAAATGTTACTGCAATTCCAATCATTTTGTTCTCATGTTATCAGAAGGTAAGGTGCAGCCCTAGGGATTCTGAGCTTATTCTTACACTGCACGTAGTTTTCCAAAGTAATCGGTTTTTAGTATTCTGTGAGGAAAAGTAACAGATGTATAAGTAAATTAAGGTACAAGGTGTGATCCAAATACACGGTGAATGTTTAAATTTTTTTAAAGTATTATAATAAAAGACACACTGGCCTTAATCCCCTTCCGCATGCTCCCCCTCACTTCAAACACACTCATCCCATCATTCTTGGCTCTTTCTGAAGCATTTCTGGAAGTCCTCTTTAGTAAGGATTATAAGGCGTGATAAAACATAAAGTGAATGCTGCAGCGAAGTCCCATCCACTGCAAAGGCATTGCAGTGCGTCCTCATCCATCTTATTCACCAGACCTGGCGCTGTGCGACTTCTCACCCTCCCTCAAAGTCAAAGTGACCATGAAAGTTAGACGATTTGAATCAGTTCAGGATGTGGAAGCAGCCAGGGCAGCACAACAAAAGATAGAAAAGAGGACTTCCAGAACTGCTTCACAAAGTGGAAAGAATGGTGGGATAAGTTTCTGAAGTGAGGGCTGGGAGGAGTGTTTCAAGGGGCATTATTGACTCTGTCACTGTAGTAATTTTTTCATCAGTTTTCAGTCATAGCACCTACATTGGTCATTGAGAGAATATCTTCGTGTATGCATAAATGATAATGGCCACTCCAAATCCCCCTGAGTTTGAGTGTTTGGTTGAGTAGAATCTTCCCAGGACTGACGTAGTAAGTCTGAGAAGCTGTGAAAGGTCCCTCACTTGGAAGCACTGACCCATGTAAACCTACCCTTTCTGTGTAAATGATGGTGGTTACCAGCACTATGATTTGTACAAGGAAGATGGGAAGATAAGTCATCTCAAGTTCAGAAAACTCATAACCTCTACCAAGTACTAAATAGCCTGGCTAGGTTGCTGTCCAGTTGTTTTTAGTCCATGAGCTAGGGTTGTGTAATAAATAGGTTGTTTCTGCATGTGCATACCTTTGTATGTACTCAACATGCATCTGAATATTTGTAATAAATACTAAGGCACAACTTAGAAGGTTGCTGTTAAAAGTTTCTGTAGTTTACATTGGGAAGATGGGGATTCTAAATTTTAGAACTAGGCTTAATACTAGGAAGAAACTAGAACAAAGTTCTCATTTTACCAAGGGAGATACCAAAAGCCAGGGAGGTGTAACCTGAGAGCTTGGCCCACATGCTCTGTGAGGTCCCTGCTTGCTCTGAAATGTCCTGATTCTGCAGCTTTAGAGAAGTGAGGAAAACAGTCATTGCTTTCAGTTACACAGCTTAGGAGTTCCAGAGCTGGATGCAAGCATACGTGAAATCGAGAGTCTTCAGTGTTTATATCTAAAATCCCTGCCTCCAGAAAAAACAGCAGTCTTTGACTAAATTGCTTCCTAAGTATGTTTAATTAGTAACTGAAATCTTTTCTTCAGCAGATCTAAGGTCTTTATGTTTTGATATAATTATAGGCTCACAAGAAGCAAAAATAGGACAGCACAGTCCCATATACTCATCCCAGGCTCCCATCTCTCAGACTCCCCTGTGGCAGTGTCTTACGTCATTGCAGTGCGCTAGAAAACCAGGACTTCGACGTCGTACAGACACCCGGTGTTTGTGTGCACTCATTTTCCTTGTACGTATGTTTGTATGTAGATCTATGACATTATCACACCGAGGTTCACAGGATCCCCACGATCAAGTCACAGAGCTGCTGCCTCACCTCAAAACACTGCAGCGGTCCCTCTATATCCCTACCCGCTTCTTCCTAGCTCCCCTTCCCATTGATCTGTTTACCATCTCTATAATTTTGTCATTTTCAGAATGCTAGATAAGTGGAATCATTTGGTCTGTACTTTTGAGGTTGATTTTTTTGTTTTTGTTTTTCTTTTTTACTCTACATACCAGCCTGTGATTCATACAAGCTGCTGCTTGCATCAGTGTTTTGTTTCTTTATACTTCAATTGAAGCATCTTAAAAGGAACAGATTACTACTTAAAACTTCATCCTGCACTTCGCAAAGAAAACGTAACAATTTTATGCACGCTGTGCTTTCCTAAATATTTTAGTTTTGCGTTTGAGAGCTACCTTTTATGTAGAAAATGCATTAACGCAGATTTACAAACTTTTAGAGGTACTTTTTCAGCTTATCAAAGTCCTGGAAATATTTTGCCTCTAAATAGCAAGCTATCACATTATAAATGAACAAGATACATGGGTGATGAAATTGTAGACAGGGAAAACTATACTGGGCTATTAGCTTCTGAATCTGAGAAATTTGAACATTAATCATGCAGGAAAAAGATGCATTTGCCTTATGTGTGTATATTACATTTTGTGAGTTTTGGGGTTTCCCCCCCCATCTCTTTAATTTCCTTCATTCACAGTCCCACTTCTTAGTACCTGATGAGATAAAAATTTCACTTGCCGAAAAAGTTTTTCACTACAAAATATATTCTATTCATATTCTTAATGAAACTATTATAAAATATGGCCTTCCTTGTTAAGAATATTACATCTTTATGGACAGCAGAACTCTCATCTTGTAGAAGTTGTCACACTAAAGGTGCTTTTCTCCAAAACCAGACCTGAGCCTGTTGGTGATGGAAGGAAGCAGTGAAACAGACATACACAGTGAGGAAGGCGAGGGGTACATAAAAAGCATTTCCAGAACATCACAAAAACCTAACTCACTCAAGTGTCTTTGGTAGAGCTATTTTTGTATTCACTAGTGGAGATTTTACACTTGCCCAGTTTTTCAAAGAACCAAGATATCTTGCTTGGACAGGAAGAGACGTGCTTCAGGCAGTATCTCCCACTTGGAACAAATAAAACATAGGTGTTTTCCTCATACTTGCAAATGTCCCCGTCCACAAACACACATGCATGTACCATGCACACACATAGGCATATGTACACATAAGACTCAACATCACATGCATACCCACACACACACACATACATTCACAGTTTTCTTTTGTTCTTTCATCTGTACCCTTTACCTGTAGGACTTGGTCTATGTCAGGTAAGAATGTAAGCTCTGTTACAAAATAAGAAATGGTTTCTTATTGCCACAGGAATCTGAAGGAAAAGAAGCATTTTCCACCAGCTTTCTTACCAGTCTGCCTCCAGACAGTAAAACACTAGTGAAGAGACATCAGGGACTTATTAAATGAGTAAACTGAGGGCAGTTGACACCAGGAATTTATTCTTTTCTTTTTGAAAAAAATTACTGCATGGTGTAATAGTTCTATCTCCACATAACCCCAGCTCCATATCTTTAATGACAAAAGGAAATAAAGAGTTCCAGACCAAAATAATAACTCACACATGCAGTATCTATTACTATAATCCTTAGATAGGTGAACTACTTTACCTTAACATGAAGATTTTCTTTTTTAAAATTTGTCTTTTCCTTTTAGCTGCCAGACACCATCTAATTGTTCATATTTTGAATGATTTATACATGAGCAGTATCTTTATACATGAGTAGTATACACGAGCAGTATCTTTCTTCACTGTCACTGAAAACATTTAGACTTCCCTGAACTGGTTTACTGAGTTGATTCAATAAAGTTTAGGGTTAGGGTAAGCTCTGAAACACAGCACACAAGAATATGCACATACATGCACATGCATACATATATGCACACACATGTTTTATTTCTTGGCTAGAGATTTTTCCCCAAAGCAAGACAACTCATCAGCAAAGCCATTGTTTATATATCTGGACTCCAGAGCAAGCACAGTTTAATATCAATTCAACCCACTACTGCAAGAACACAAAGTACAGCTTTTTTTTTTTCGTAGTTGATATGTTGTTGGTGGGCAGTAACAGGTAAGGGGTAAAGACTCATCCCAGGATACAGTGGCAGATTCCACTCACACCCTAGATCCCTGCAGTACAGAAAGCCAAAATCAAAGCCACAAGGGCCCAGGGCACAGCTGAGACAAGTCAAGGATCACATTCGCCTCCATGCAAGAAACTATACTGAGTGTGCACTATTGGAGAGCTTTGCTACAAACACACTTCAGCAGTTTCAAGAAAACAGCTTAGGAACTAAACACTATTACAATTTTTTCTTTTGTCTAAATTAAAATAAGCTGAAGAAGTATGTGGAACTATATATATGCATGGCAAAGTCTCCTGCTAAACCTCTTAAGAGAACCTGCATCTACAGAGATGATTTAAAAGCAAATCTCAACATGTGAGATTTCATCCACGATTCAACCATCTGGCCCTCTTACATAAATGCATGATGCTGGGTACCAGGGAAAACTGTAGCAGTGAATACGGACTTTTATCTTATCTGACATATCAAACACCTGGGTCCCGATGGCCAAAGGTAATGTATCACCAATGTCCACGGACATGAACACCAACATCTGTTTCTCTACCAGACTGGCAGGACTGAATCACATAAATAGCACATTTCTCAGAAAATTACTCTCAGTGTATTGAAGCTTAAAAAAAAAAAACAAAAGAAACCGCCCCAAAGTTGTTGGCCCCAGCACAAAAGTAATTCCCTCTGCCCGTGGGAAGGAGTTTTATACAGCATCTACACTGAAAGGAGGTTTCAAGTGGTCTCAGACTTGCTCCTGAGCACAACATAGAAGCCTCATGGAAAGAACTGGGTTGGTGGGAGCCTTCTCTATTAACCTTCTCTCTCCAGCCTCTGCTAACTGGAGACAACAGATCTTTGAACCCTCAGCCTTAGCCTGACTAGTTCCAAGACAAACATTAGCTCTGAAGGCTCCAAGACAGCTGCTGAAGAGAGCTGGAATGCATCTCTCGCCCAAGTCTGGTCTCAGCCTGAACACCTGACCACATGCCTTGCTCAGCCGTTGCCTTGC